ACAAGAGCTTACTTCTTTCTCAGGATGGTAGAACAGAAAAAATACCTAGATTCTGGTGTCAGTATGATAGCACCAGTGTGCCTTTAATCCCAGCTCTTGGGAGGCAGAGGCAGGTGAAACTCAGCTAGATTGAGGCCACCCAGGGGTAACTTCTCGGCAGACTGGGACTAGGGAGACCCTGTCTAAAACAAAACAAACAAAAACTCGATTGTGGCTACAGTCTCTAAAATATCACATTTGGACATTTATGTATCAAAATTGTTGAAATTTATAAAATATATCATTAATTGGGGTTGGAGAGATGGCTCAGTGGTTAAGAACACTGGCTGTTCTTGCAGAAGACCCAGGTTCGAATGCCAGCACCCACATGGCAGCTAACAACTGTCCGTAATTCCAGTTCCAGGGGATCTGACAGCCTCTTCTGTCCTCCACAGACATTGCATGACACGGGTGCACTCATATACACGCAGGATATACACTCATACACATAAAATAAAAATAATAAAGAAAATATTTTAAATATATATATCATTAATTGCAGGTATTTAGATTATATTGGTTGCAGTGTTTTTGCAGTTTAGTGTGTGTGTGTGTGTGTGAATGTGTGTGTATGTGTGTGAATGTGTGTGTGTGTGTGAATGTGTGTGTGTGTTTATATGTATATTTACAGTGCTAGGAATTGAATCCTAGATTTGATACATGTTAGGCAAGCACTCTACCACTGAACTACATTCTCAGCCCAGTTTTTCCAATTGGAGTGTGCCCTTTCCCTATCCTCTTCTAACCCATGCACTTTCTGTTGTTTCTTATTGGTTTTGTTGTTGTTGTTGTTGTTGTTGTTGTTGTTTGAGATAAGAGCCCATGATTAACCTAGGCTGGCCTCAAATTCATTATGTAGCCAAGGATGACTACATAACCTGTGATGGCTAATCCTGGGTGTCAACTTGATTGGATCTGGGATTAACTGAAATGAAAGAGATCTTCTTGATTGGATCATCTAAAGCCAGAAGACACACCCTAAATGTGGGTGTTACCTTCTGATGGCAGCGCCCATATAAAAGGCCATGGTAGACGAGAGCACTTGTTTTTTCTGCTTGCCTTCTCTCTCTCTGGTGAGTTCCTCTTGATGCTGTAGACTGACACTAGCCGATCTTTGGGAATTCATCAGTCCTTCAGTGCCAGATTGGGACTACTGAGACATCCAGACTTGTGGAGTGAGTGACTATGGATTCTCAGCATGTCCACTGTGGTGCTCCAATTGTTGGACTACTCAGACTGTATCCTGTGAGCTAATCTGGTAAATTCCTACACACACACACACACACACACACACACACACACACATATTCATTCTACTGGTTCTGTTTCTTTAGAGAACCCTGACTAATACATAACCCAATGTACTTCTAACCCCACCTATAAGGGCTGGAGAGATGGCTCAGCAGTTTAAGAGCACTGGCTGCTCTTGCAGAGGACCCAGGTTCAATTCCCAGCACTCACATGGGGGCTGACAACCATCCATAACTCCAGTTCTAGGGGATCTGACACTCTCTTCTGACCTCCACTGGTATTGCACAGCACAGGTGTGCTTACATACATGCAGGCAATACATTCATACATATAAAATAAAAATCATAAAATATTAAAAAATAAACCCACCTTTGGATATTTTGTATGGCACTAAGACATAGCAAATTTTTAAAAAAATTTTTATTCATTTTTATGTGTATGAGTGTTTGATCTACATGTACATAAGTGCACCACGTGCATGCCTGGATCCCCTGGAATTGGAGTCAAAAATTGGTGTTAGTTACCATGTGGGTACTGGGAACTGAACCTTGGTCCCCTGGAAAAGCAATCAGTGATCTTGACCACTCAGCTATCTCTCCAGTCCTTTTTTTTTTTTTAAGCTTATTATGTGTGACATGATTTTTCTTTGTGATGCTAGGGGTAGTGTCTAGGGTCTCATACACACTAGACAAGACTGTACCATTGAGCTACATTCCCAGCAAGTGGCTGTATTTTTTTTTTTTTTTTGAGACAGGGTCCCCTATAGTCCCAGCTGACCTGAACTCACTATGTAGACCAGGCTGGCCTTGAACTCACAAAGATCTGTCTGCCTCTGCCTCCCAAGTGCTGGGACTAAAAGCTGTGCCACCACGCCCGGCAAATTGCTGTATTTTAAAATCGATTTGGACACTATTCAGAGATACTCTAGACACCTGGGTTTTAGTAGGAACTACTCTTTTCAGATGTAAAACTCTGGAAAATTTTGGAGATGCACAGTGCTCTCACTTAAGTGTGAATTGAAAACATTCAGAATACTTAGGTACTGAAATGTCATAAACTAAGTTTTAATTATTATGAAATGATTTCCATGGTCTTTCTGCTGCAGACAATTTCTAGATGCATATCTATGTCCTTCATCCCTGAATAAGATACTTCATGCACCTAGCTTTGCTGAGCCAGCAAGTCTTGGAAGTAGAAAGGGGGTTAGATGCCCCCCAGCTTTGTTTCTGATCGCTGAAGACATTGGTTAAGGTTGCTTAGTTTAATCTATAAACCTTGATTCATGACTTTAGTTTCTTATTCTCTCCACAGACATATTTTCTCATGGTTAGCTCTTCATTCCTCTTGTAACAACACAGAAGTTTGTGGTGATTATAAACTAGCTGAGAAGAGACCATAGCTGTTTCAGTATTTGGAAATTACAGTGTCTAATGGGTGACTTGGAGTTAATAATCATAATAAAAGTATATGCTAAGTGTTTCTTAGCATAAATGACTAAGAAAAAACAAGAGTCACAGATAAAATGTCTGTCTTTTCAATGAAAGGGTGATGTAATCGTAAGAGGAAAAGTCTAGAATAATCAACAAGTCTAAGGACAATCGGACTACATTCTAACATAGCTGGGCTTCAAAGCAACTGCTTAATAGATCGGCTTTGATTTTTCCCTCACTACGCATTAGGAACAACCATTATAGGGAATATGTATATGAATGTGCATCAACATCAAGACAAGAAGTCAAGGCTGGAGAGATGGCTCAGCAGTTAAGAACACTGGTAGTTCTTGCAGAAGACCCAGGTTCAAATCCCAACACCCACATGGCAGCTAACAACTGTCCATAACTCCAGTCCCAGGGGATCTGACAGCCTCTTCTGACCTCTGAGGGCATTGCATGACACGGGTGCACTTACATACATGCAGGCAATACACACATACACTTAAAATAAAAATAATAAATACAATTTTAAAAAATATTTTTAAAAAGACAAGAAGTCAATATAAATGAGTATCTTGGGGCTCCCCAGGGGGTCAAAGGCATGGCTAGATTACACAGCAGCCAATCCATGGAAGGTCTTTAGCTAGTACAGCCTTTCAGGGGCCTTACATGTATACTTGGTGAACATTGACTAGATTTTGTCAGGAAAATCTGGATAGCAAATATAATTATAAATTTAAAATGCTCTGTGGATCATTTTAGGTACCCATTAGCTTACCAATATTATACACATTATTTTTTGTGTGTGACACAGTCTTGTTACATCACCTAGGCTAACCACACACTTAAGAACTCCTGTTTCAACCTCCTGATTAGCTGGGATTATGGTGGTATACCATTATGCCTGGCTCCATGCAGACTAAATGAGAGGAAATCATGTTTTCTTCCTCTATCTTTTTTTTTAAATTCCTTGAGGATTTCATACATGTATACAATGAAACATAGTATCAACCTTCCATTTCCCCCCCCAACTCCCTCCCTTTATCTCCTCCCCACACTTCCACCTCCAAATTTCATGTCCTCTTTTTAATTTTTTAAGTAACCCATTGAGTCCAGTTAGTGCTCCTCACATATGTTCATGGGTGTTGAGGCATCCATTGGAGAATGGCCACTTAACAGTGGTCCAACACCCAAAGAATGATTCTTCCTCCCCCAGCAGCTATCAACTGTCAATAGCTCCTCAGTTTGGGGTAGGGCCTTTTGAGTTCCTCCCTCATCTGTGCTGGAATTTTGGCTGACTTGATCTTATACAGGTACAGCTGTTTTATGAGCTCATGGGTGCAACAGCTGTGTCACATCCAGAAGACAGCATTTCACAGTTCTTCGTCCCGTCCTCTGGCTCTTACATTGTTTTCTACCTCCTCTTTTGTGATGTTCCCTAAGCTTTGGGGGTGAAGTGGGGTAGATAAAGATACCCCATTAGTGGTGGAGCACTCGGTCTCTTTATTCTTACCACTTTGACCAGTTTTACCTCTCTGCACTGATTGCTGCTGACTGCAAAAGAAGCTTCTCTGACCAAGGTTGAGAGCAGCCCAGGTCTATGGATATAAACATAAATATTTAGATGGCAGTTTGACAACAGGATCATTTGTCAAAATAACAATAATAGGTTCTACCCTATGGCCTATGACTTCCCCAGCCATAGACTTTTGACAAGGTTTGCAGTACCAAGTATGAAATCCCTCCTGTGAAACAGGCCTCAAATTCAATTAGAAAGCAGTTGGTTACTCCCATAACAGTGATGGCACTATTGCACCAGTGAGCACATCTTGCTTGGCAGATCAGTACTGCAGCATGCAGAGTCCAGAGCTGGATAAGACCATTGCTTTCTTTTCTCTCCTAGCAACCTGTACAGCACCTTCCAGCACTGTGAAAGCTAGCCATCAGGGAAGAAGTTTCCTTACTGGTTTGAGATTGATTTCTCTATGTCCTGAAGCCAAAGTATGTGATGTCTTTAGCCATAGGGTTTTACTATGTAGCTATGGTTGGAGTAGGATTTGCATCTGGAGGGATGGTGTAAATTGGACTTACTGTAGTGGTTACAGGAATGTGCACCCAACACCCAGAACAGTGTCTGTATAGTAAGTTTAGTGTACATTGGTGATCAGTATTCTATTGTGTGAGGTAGGACATAACAACAGGAGCACCTGTGAGAGAATATGTAGTGGAAAGTTTGTGTGCTAGAACTGCAGACAGCAGGGCATTTGCTTCCAGAGATGCAGAGCAATATAATTTATTAATTTTACATTAAGAAAATTGTAAAATCACATATGTAGAGGAAAGTTGAATGTTAGTTAGAATACCTCCATGATGCTGTGTTATAAATTTTGTTTTAAAATAGTTCAACAAACTCAGTTTGTATTTTAATATTTTAAAATAAAATCCATTATATCAAAATCTCGACCATTTAAAAAACTGTAAAAACCACGATTCAAGCCAACGATTCTGTGCTTCGTGATGTGGTGGGTAAACATAGCTTCATTTCTCTATGAAGAATTTACTCTGTTCCCTTCTGGCTTTTTCAAGGCCTTCAAAAGTGATCATTCCTTTTGGCAGCTCCAACTTATTCTTTTCTGTTTCCAGTATGCCTTCAGCTTCACCTAAAATAAAGTACAGAAATATGTAAGATAAAAAGGGGTCACTAGCATTTTGTGAGAAGGCTTGATTGCTGCTCCAGTGATATACTGTAACACTGTATGGATTCATGTCCCTAAATCTCACACATTTATGAAATTTCACCCATCTTTCCCAGAAGAAGTGACAGATCACTCTGAGGAAACACAATGATGGATTCTGAAAAATAGAAGGAATATATACCAGAACTGGGTGTGGTGGTGCACATCTCTAATTCCAGCACTCAGGAGGCTGAGGCAAGAAGCCCATGAGTTCAAGGCCAGCCTGGGTTACAGAGAGAGAGAGAGAGACCCTCAGAAACAAGACAAAACAAAAAAGAAATGATAAATGCATGAGGAGATGGATATAACTGTCCTGATTTGATCAATATATAATATATACTTAACAAACGAATTGCAAATTGTCACTAAAAATAAATATATAGTATACAAAGAATACTTAAAGTAAGCATTTGAGTTCACTGTCAAAGGTTTAGAATGTCAACATTTGCCAGTCCCTGGTCTAGAAGATGAACTAAGTACAAAGTCAAGCTTGATTTGATGCTAGCAAGCTCCCACAACATAAATACTCCTATCACAACCAACCTCAAGCTTACAAAGGCTGCCACTAAAATTGAGGCTGTAGCTGTGCCTTGTTCTGTCTGTTTACTGTTCCTGCATTTGCATAATGCAGATACAATGAATACAAATAGTGTAAGATTTTATAAGAAAATAATTAGAAACAGATGAGTTCTTGGGGCCAGAGAGATAGCTCAGTGATTAAGAGCATTGACTACTCTTTCAGAGGACCTGGGTTTCCCAGCACCCACATTGCAGCTAACAATCATCTGTAACTTCAGTTCCAGGGGATGATACCCTCTTCTGACTTCAGTGGACATTGCATGACATGGGCATACATCCAAGCATGCAATACACTCACTCATACACATGAAATAAAAACAATATATAAAATTTAAAAAAAAGAAACAGGTGAGTTCTGGGATTTCTCACCTTATTTTAAATATAACTCAATATTATTTAATATAATTTAATTATAAGTCTATATAAATGTATATGTGTAAATGTAAGTCTATAATTCTATATAATTTAATTTTTAATGTGTGACTATGTTTAATATTCACTTTTCAAAATTTCAAAAAATTTAACAGTGAGTTCTTAGGAGTAATAAGAGCTAACTTCAGATATCCTTGTGTTGGAGGGACCAGAAATGCTGGTCATTAGAAGCTTAGAAAAACTATCTTTTCAGACTCTTTAAGGACTCAATAAAGAGGGATTATTTTATGTGTACATGTTCACATATATATACATGCTTGTGGAGGCCCAAGGTCAACCTTCAGTGTTCTCAGGCATTATCTACCCTGTTTTTGTTTTTGTGACAGGGTTTCTTACGGCCTAGAATTCACTGAATTCTGGCTGTCTAGGGAGCCCCAGAGATCTGCCTATCTCTGCCTCCCTAGCTGAGATTACTTGCACCAGCTTTTTAATGTGGGTTCTGGGGATTGAACTCGGGCCCTCATGCTTACAAAGCAAGCACCTTACTAACTGAGTTATTTCCCCAGCCCCAAGAGAAGACTCTTGAACTAAAATATGAATTAAGAAACAGAAACTCTAGTTTATCAAGACTCACTTTTCATTCTTTGTAGAAGAGTTCCATAGCCCAAGTCATACTGGTAGGTGAAGACAAAGCTTAACGGAACTATAGGGATGAGGAGGGCTGGCTTCTTTCGCTTTATTGCTCTGTTTCAAAAATAAGAAAGAATCAGTGTCAACCAAAAACCTGCAAATACACATGTTTATACTCGTACCTGCTTTTTGGAAGCATGTGCTCCACGTCAGAAGTTACTTCATTCATATGAGTCTTCTACAGAACTTGAATTTCCTTACCCAGCATACCTCATCAGGCTCTTTGGTTCTCAAGGGAAGGGTCTATGACTGGTTAACCTTTATTTGACTTTGAGGCTCATACTCCTGCTTATAAACTGGTTAAGGATTGCGAGTGGCCACTCGGGGCTTCTGGGGACAAACCCATAGAGGCCATCCATCTTGGTGTCAACTCAGCCCTCTCTCTAACTTATGAAGTGGAGAAAATGACAAAAATAATCCAAAACTAAAGTCAGAATTAACTGTTACTGCTGGTTCTAAGAGGAACCCCAGGGTAAGCTAGAAGTTTGTTTACACATAAACTCTTGAAACCAAAGTCTGATCTTAGCTAACTTAAGACTGCTTCAATGAAGAAAATTTTAAAGTAGGGGCTGGAGAGATGACTCAGTGGTTAAGAACATTGGCTGCTCTTCCAGAGGACCCAGGTTTGATTCCCAGCGTCCACACAGGTTAACAACTGTTTGTAACTCCAGTTCCGTGGGATCTGACATCCTCTTCTGACCTCTGTGGACATTGCATAACACAGGTGCATTTACATACATGCAGGTAATACACTAATATTCATAAAACAAAAACAATCAATAATAAAAAAGAAAATCTTAAAATAAACAGTAAACATACCCAGCTGTTAAAGAGATGGTTGCAATGCCAAAAAAAGTTCCAAAATATTTGAGGAATTCTCGAGACCAGGCGATCTGCATAGCCATTTGTCTTTCTCTCATCTCGTTCTGCATCATCAGCTGCCTCTCCAGCTGAGCACAGAAGAAAGTGTGGTTACTCATCTTCTAACTTTGAGGGTTTATTTTTAATCGTGTGTGTGTGTGTGTGTGTGTGTGTGTGTGCGTAGAAGAGGGTATTGATGTCTGGAGCTGAAGTTACAGGTGGTCGTTAGCTGCATGACATGGGTGCTGGGAATGGAGCTCTGCTTCTCTGCAACAGCATCAAAAGCACTTAACCAATGTGCGATCTGTCCAGCCCTCATCTTTTAACTTTGAACACAGTTATAGTCTGGTTTTTTTTGGTGGGTTTTTGCACTTTGATGCATTTTTGTTTTGTTTTTATCACAAGAGACTTTAACTAAAGTCCCTGTGAATAATTACCTGCAACTGTCACTTTGACAGTGACACCTTGAAATATACACAGAACAGATACTGCTATTCTATTCCCATTTGCTTAGGTCTTGACCACATTTGTTGTAGATCCAATCCTCAGATATGTTTCCAGCTTTTACTGCCATATGAGAGGAAAGGTCTTTAATATATATATGTATCTTGCTGACATTTATTGTTAATGCTTGTATGGAAATCATTTTGCTTTCCACTCATTTTGCCTTCCAAATGTACCCAGCTACAAATTAAAACAATGGGTCCATACCACATGATGATAAAAGGATGTTGCTTTGAGACGTCAATATAGATTTTTCTTTGCCACATTTTTCTTGTGCCACTTCCATCAATGCCTTTCTCTGCTTTGAAGCAAAAGGCCAATAATATCCCAGACCACAGACATGATATCTGAGTGGAATTTTTTTTTTTAATCTTTTTGAGACAGGGTCTTCCTGTAGCCCCAGTTGTCCTGGAACTCACTATGTAGACCATGCTGGCCTTGAACTTACAGAGATCCGCCTGCCTCTGCCTCCCAAGTGCTGGGATTAAAGGCTTGTGCCATCACGCCCAGCTTATTTTTAAGAGATACACAGAAACAGCAGTAGACTGAAAGCCCAAGAACATTATTTGAAGAGTCAGATTCTTGAGAGGAAAGCCTGTTTTCTTTTTGGCTTTTTAAGTCTAAAATCTTGGCAGTATCATCAGCAAAGCTCAGAAACAGCGAGCATGGGATTCATGATGAAAGAGAACTAATGTGACTGGTTTTCCTGCCATGTCCTCTTTCTATTGTGGCAGAAATGGAGAAAGGAGAGTGAGAGTTTTAGAGCAGGATGAGTCTCAGCTCCATGGCCCCACTTGGGGGTTGTAGTGTAGGGGAATGTCAAGCACACCCCAGGTAGGCCTGGGGATCCCCAAACTGAGGATTTGACAGCCTGTTTTCTGTTGGAATTCTAGGAGGGGACAACTACAGTAGATAGACATGGTTGAGGACAGATCTAGGTACAGAACAGGCCTAAAAGAGACATGGGGTAATCTACCAAGGTGTCTGCAAGGTTCCCATGTCACCTGGAGAGGTTCCCAGGGGGCAGCTAAGAATTAAAAGCAGGTAGCATGCCATGATAGAAACCAGAAGTCAGTCCTCCGAGACTGCTGCTGCCCCTATTGATCAGTTACTCACCTACACCCTGGGAGGACTGCTTGTAGAGACAGCTTGTTTCCCAAGAGAACCTGTCTTGCTTGGGTAAACAGTCCCAGGAAGAAGAGATCACAAACCTCTGTTTCTCAAGATAAACTGGAGCAAACAGTGCCAAGAGGAAGGGGACCGTAAAATTCTCATGAGTGCCCCTGATCTGCACATAGTCAGTCACAGCTGTACCCTATATAATCCCCAGTGACCCTGGCCCCAGCACACTTGCCCCCAGCTTGAGGGAAGGCTGCTGTCACTCTCTGCTCTTGAATAAATGCACTCTTATCTGTCTGTCAGGTGCGGCCTCTTTCTTTCTCTCCTATTGTTCCTATATTCTGAGCTCCAAAACCTAACATTCCAGAGCATCACCAAAACCTAGGGCCAGGAGAGCCTATAACAGACACTTGGGTAACAAACATAAGCCAGAGGTTGTTGGGGGAAGGTGGCTGGACTTCAGAGGCTCCACAGCACTGAGGAGTGTAGAGGTCATGACCAGCCTCACCTGGAATATGATCAATGTCCTCAGAACAAATCACCCATGCTTTCCAGGTTGATCTAAGAGAAAACTATAGCAGAAAAGCTTCCTCTAATGTCTGTACCACCCGAAGCCACCTAGACTAAACTAAGGTTGTACCAAGAGAAAAATGAACAGAGAAGGAGAAAGAGCAATGTGGAACTCAACTACCAAAACTGCGAATTTAAAATTAGAAGTAATCAAGGCATTTGATATATCAAAATCAAGTTAAACTTACCTACATCAGTAGAAATTGAGCTTCACTTTGAGCTCAGTTAGAGTAAAAGATAAATATGTTTCTGTACACATGATTACTATGTGAAACCGATCCTTGCTATATTGCCTATTCTCAAAACTTACATAATTCATATCCTGATCCAAAGTAGTATGAATGCATCAACTAATCATTTGTTTTTATAAAAAGGCATCTAGATCCAACAAGTTACAGAAGCATCCAATGTCAGTGTCCTGAACTGTGAACATCTGTAGTGCTTTTCAAAGTCCCAGTGCCCAGACCTACACCCCAAACCAGTTAAGCCAGATGATACTAGGAGGTAAAGTCAGGTATATGTTTTCTGTTTTGCTTCTTTAATATTCCTAGGTAATTCTAGCGTGCAGTCTGGATTGAGAACTACTGTCTAACATGATGCATTACAGGATAGATTGCTCACTACACACTGAGCACCAAGTGGAGATATAAGTCTGAAATGGATGCCTGGGAATGCTTTGATCATAAGCAGAGGGCTTCATAAAGGTTGTGGGACTGAACAGTATGGTACTGTTGTGGTGAACGCATAAAACCCTGTGCTTGTCAAATGCATAACCTTTATAGTAGAGTGAACTTGATGTATGAAAATTTTGTAAATCAGGTAAGTCAGAGGATATACAAGATATGTATAACAAATGCATGATGTCAATGAAAAGGTAGAGGGAAAGGAACTATACAACTGTGCAAAATGGTGCTGGAAACCTGTAAAAAGATCAAAAGGACTGTACTTTGACTTTGCACTCTAGTTGGTAAAGCTATCCCTCACAAGGTATAAATTAACAATTCTGCACCAGGCTTGGTGGTATGTACCTGTAATCTCAGCACTCGGGGGATGACATAAGCAGAAGAATCATGGATTTGAGACCAGCTTGCTCTACATAGCTACCTTGTCTCAGCCTTGTCTCTCTCTCTCTCTCTGTCTCTGTCTCTGTCTCTGTCTCTCTGTCTCTGTCTCTCTCTCTCTGTCTCTCTCTCTCTCTCTCTCTCTGTGTGTGTGTGTGTGTGTGTGTGTATTTAGAGCAGTACCTGGCACATGGCAGATGACAATTAAATATTAGATATTTACTATGACAGCATAGTATTGTCAGTATCCTCCAGTTAAAGATACCAGGAACACACCTATAGTTGAAAATCTGGGCTTGCTGACTTGTTGCAGCAAAGAAGACACAGTGTAGGGAACTGTGGGGAGTCTTAGTAAGAAGACATCAGATTGGGCTCCTCATAGGACAGGGACTTGTGTTAGTTGATTGGGAGAGTGCTTATGATAATCTGGCTTGGGTGTTATGACAGTTTTGTCAACTTAACCCAATCTTGAATCACCTGAGAAGGCTGAGTGCGTAGATCAGGTTGGCCGATGGGCATGTTTGTGGGGGATTATCTTGATTACATTCATTGGCGTAGGAAGCCCAGCCCACTGGGTGCAGCACTATTCTCTGGGCAGTGGATTCTAGAATGTATGACTCTGGAAAGCAAGCTGAGCACTAGCATCCATGCATGAATTCATTGTGCTTATCCTTGACTGTGGTTGTGACCTGCTGCCTGAAGTTCCTGATCCTTAGCTTCCCCACAATGATGGACTGCAACCTGGAACTGTGAGCCAAGCAAACCCTTTCTTCCTTAAGTTGCTTTTGTCAGGGTATTTTAATCACAGAAACAGGAAAAGAAACTAAGCCAAGGAGTTTTACAATGAACAGTGAAAAACAGCAATTTTGGCCAGCATGAGGATGCTTGTCAGTACTGGACTGGCAGCTCTCACCTGTGCTGTTCTAACAGGCTACACAATAACCTTTTTGTTTCAGTCCATCAAGAGTCACAGCATGGCCTTGTCTGACTGTGAAATTACTCAAGTTCTACAAGAGAACACTACAAAAGCACTTGGAAGTTATATATCTGGTCAAGTATTTATTCAGGAAACCCAGTGGAGTGAGAGGGACAAATGCAGTGTCTTCAAGAGGTCCTGATACAGGTAGCAGCTTTTGTCTGCCTTGGGCTATAAGGGTGTTTTTGTTTTGGTTTTTTTTTTTTTTTTTTTTTTTTTTTTTTTTTTTTTTTAAAAAAAAAAAAAAAAAAAAAAAAAAAAAGAGGACGATAAATCTTTCACTGTGATATATCAAAATAAACCTGCCTCTGCCTCCCAAGTGCTGGGATTAGAGGCATGTACTACCAGGCCTGGCTGAGGGTGTTTTGTTTACAAGCCCAGTAATCACCATAAAAAAAAATTTATTTAATAACCACATAAATAGTAGAAGCATTTTATTACAATAGCATTGACATAGTCAATAACAGTTTCCAGAGCAAAGATGCATCACTTTCAATATTGGCTGTAATTTTTAGGTTCACAGTGTTGAATTAATACAGTTACACATTATTGTACTCAGTATAAACCCCATAAGACATAAAATTGAATGCAGTTTTAACCTTTAAAAAAGATCTCCATTTCATTTTAAAATATACTGTTTCATACAGAAAAACTCATTTTTAATGCAACTAACACTTAGATGTTTGCACATGCATCTCTAATTTCTATATATCTGATTATTACTAGTCACAGTCAGTTACTTTCTGAGATCCTTGGCACCTGAGCACGGATATAAAGCCATCAAGTAGATTTCAATGGTAATGTTTTTCATATCTACTAATTAACATGAAGCAAAATTTTATGCTTCTTCCTCAGATAT